GCAACACATACGCTCAATAAAGCTCAATTTGTCTGTTTTGTTCCATTTTTTAAGGTTACTGTTATGAGCTGTTGTTTACATGACTAATCTTTACAAGGGTTTCTAAAAATGTCAAATCCGTGCTGCACTGGCTCATAGGTTTGACCAATCACCTGACTCGAGGTTCCTCTTTTGCTGGGAGAGTACCTACTCTGAAGTATGAGCTAAAAAAGTAGCTTAGTGGTGGTGGGCACGTCCAACTGTTCTTAGAAGTATGAAAAAGTTCCTCTTGTCTGAAAATGTTTAGGCAGATTCAGTAGAGGAATAGGCACAGTACACCAAAGCAGAATAGCTGATACATCATGTGTACGATTTCAACCGAGGCCTGTACACCAACTTAGCCTCTCAGCCTTATGCTGTTTCTGGGCACACATCAGCTCCATACAGGGGCCGGGTACTTTTCAAAACTTTGCTCCAAGGCATCAGACATCTTTGGGTGACATCACAGACTCTACAGCCACTGGTTCAAAGTATACTTCTCATTCGGAGTCTTAATTAGCAAACAAAGTGCACAAACCAAAGTAAGAACACTTTTTCAATGACCTCTGTAAAACATGCTGTAGGTAAGACTATAATAACGTCAACGTAAAATGTCTTTAAAACATATGAAAGGACACTAACCCCACTCAGGCCAGGGTCCTCCTGTGAACTCTAATCTCAGATGATTTTGACAGAACCTCCACACTCTGACACACTGCATCAGTATTCATTCAGTGATTTGCACCGTGTTAAATGAAGACACTGTCAGCTACACAGAATCCATATGGAATATAAAAAAGTAAATGATTCAGCTCAGATAAAACTGTAAGACAACAAACATAATTGCGTTTCGATGTCAAGCCTCTTTGCGCGCCTTTCATATCCCGGATCATTTGCCTGCATCGCTTTGGAACAGAACTTGTTTCAAACGGCTGCCTTTCTCTCCAATATTGTGCTAATGCATTTAATTTAATGTTCGCAGACGCCGTAATTGGTATAATATTGCTCTATAATACGTTGAAGGAAACCTTAGCATTAAGCACTAAATTGAAATTTTGAAGCGAACGGTGAAAACGACTGTGGGGGCAAAGAAACCCCATTAAATGTAATTTGTTCTGCATGGCTGTGGGGGTAATGGTTACCGAGACACTCCTTTATTAAGTCGAATAGGTAGCGAGGTAGCTTCGGATTCTCTCTCTCTCTCTCTCTCTCTCTCTCTCTCAGGAAGAAAGTGAGGCTTTTCCGCGTATGGGAGGTCCCGCGTGACGTCACCCCACCATACACTGACGCACAGGCACAACGTGGGCTCCTCAGACTCAAACTTTGTCATTTTTTTTCAATTTGGTGCCACTGTGACCCCCAAAATAAGTAGTGTTACCCCCCGCATACTTCACCAAAGCACCACTTTCACTCATTAGCTCTGCTTCAGTTACAGAAGGATACATACACATAAAGTTTGGTTGCTTGCATGCTTGCTCTCAGGGCACGTACAAAATAATAAATGAGTCTAAACTTTAGTTATTAAGTAATAATATAGTCTCATCTATTAGGTCATGTGGTAGACGTTTCATTATTATTATTATTATATTATGGATATTCTGTGGCAGAAGGGTCAAAATCTGAAATAGAAAAATAAGAAAGAGTCAAATAGATGAGATAATATTTCATTTACATTCTTGCAATTGCTCTAAGGACCCATATAAGCAATTAAATGATCACCCAGTGCCATTATATATTTATTCATTATATTTATCAAGATTTAGACTTACATAATTTGAAATTTGATCATTTAGGATCGGGTCTTTTACATAATTATACATATAATTATTAACAAAATGAACACCCATGCCAAGATTGCACCCAAAAACCCAGTCTAACATTTAATCCCAGAACTTAACCAAGACACAAGTTGGATTGCAAACTGTATCTGTATGTATGTATGCTTTTAACATAAGATGAGAAGTCATCATTATTTCCTTTGGAAAACACATACTGTTGTACAAGTAGCTTACTTTACAAGGTAGCGATGCCACGGACAAAATGTGACTGGGTTCAGGGATGGTTTAAAATTTAAAATATAAGTAACATACTCATATTATTAATAATGTCAAGAGGTCAATACCAATGCATTTAAAGTTTACCTGCAGTAGTTGCAAGGTTTCCATCAGCTGGTGGACTATATTAAAATAGGTTATAGCTACCTGTGGCCTGTGCACTGTAGTGACATAAAATCATTATTGTGCAAAGGAGTATTCAAGCCAAGGGCAAAGCTCATACCACTCCTACAAGTGTCTTCTACCATGTAAAGAGACAGTTCGTGTTTCTATTCTGTATTCTGCTATTTCATTTTGTATTCCTCTTATGTCACACTCCCAAACATAGCACTTAGTCACTATATACAGTAAGGGTTTTGCTCCTGACTTAGTCTTAGACCATAGCATTTTAACATTAAAACCAAAACTATTGCTAGATATTATAGAGTTGTGAGCCGATAGATCAAACTTAAGAACTTCAATTCTTGGTTTAGGACAGTAGAAAATGCATTAATTCGAATCTGACAACAAATTGTTCAGATTTGACAGTGCTGTGTTAATAATCTCTCCTCTTTTTTCTGGACTCTCTTAAATAGTATTTTCCTTATGTTATGCTAATTCCCCTGACACTTGGTAGTGGAATATTATTATTTAGCTGATTAAAGAGTTAAACACCTAACTCAGGAAGACTTAGTCTCATTTCAGACTGGTTCATCGACTTAATCGATCCAGTCATGGATGGTAACTATTTCAAAGTTTAGGGAAGCTGTCCTGCACTATTGGAAGGGGAAAAGTTGAACCTGATTTATGTTTGTCATATTTAACTCAGTTTTTCCTCAACAATAAAGCCTTCTCTCTTATGAAATTTAAATATTGTTTAAATACACTAAATGGTAAACATGGTTGATCCTGCTTAGTGGCCACATAGCAAAAAGTTCCTATTTGGCCCAACACTGCACATGGCAAACTATTAGCTGGCAGCGTCAATATTTGTCCACAGACTCACAAACCAGCCTGTACGCCTACTGGAATACCTCCTGGCCCCAAGTTTTCTGTACACCAAACACATTGTATATGACAATAATAACGCCCCTCTACAAGAACACAAAACAAAGTGTAATGCAGGACCAAGTTAATTTACTTTATTGGTGCAAATTCAAATGCAAACAAATTGGAATTAATGGTTCTCCTCAGGCGCCACGACAGTAGCCTGTTTTGCTCTATTGGTAATCCAGCAATGAGCACAATCTCCATTGTTTGCCATGGAAAGTAACTAATTCCATTTACCCAAGTACTTTACTACAGTAGGCCTACAATGGAAGTAGCACTACTTGTTGTCGACTTGAGTAAAGCTGCCCCCCTGTATTTCTTGGGAAAAACACACATACCACATTTTCTCTTAAAAATATCGTTTTCTAAGTTAATCTAAATTACAAAAAGCATAACTCCCACCATAACCAACAACAAAAAAACAAAAACAAATCTCATCTACTCTGAGAAGTAAGTGATAATATAGCTTCTGTTTTAATTACACAGATATCTGTCTCTGACCTCCTTATACAATGGAGGTGAATTAAGTTTTGTTTGTTATGCTCACAGCACTGGAAGATATTAAACAAAACACATTAACATGACATATATTTTTAGTAACTATGTCCCAGTTACACTGAATAACCCACACAACATGTTGCTACCAGTTTTTTTTTTTTTTGAGCAAATAAAACCAAAACGTCCTGGCTGGCTACACCACTAGGGAAAGTGAGAAATGTGTTCTTTTAATATGTGTCAACAGAAGCTTTGAACAGAACTTGTTTTAGATACAGGGGACAGCAAACACAGTGTTAGCTGGTGCTATGGTAATTAGAGGCAGAGTAGGAGGGTATTAGTGGAATATGAGTGGAAAAGCCACACCAAAGGGAGATCAGCCATAACATTATGACCACCTGGTAATGCAGCCCCATATGCAACAAACTGATACACTGTGTGTTCTGACACCTTTCTATCAGAACCAGCATTAACTTTTTCAGCACTTTGAGCTACAGTAGCTCGTCTGTTGGGCGACCAAGGCTCATTGATGCACAGGGTGAAATATGGCTGGCCCGTGTGGTCCGATCCATGACCCGGTCACCAGTTCACCTCTTTTCCTTCCTTGGACCACCTTTGATAGTTACTGACCACTGCACACGGGAACACCCAGCTGCAATTTGGAAGATCATCTGAACAGTCTCTACCTCACATTGAAGCACCTTATCAAAGTTGCTCAAATCTCACGCTGCCCATTGTCCTGCTCTAACACATCAACAATGTTCACCTGCTGCCTGATATACCACACCCACTGACAGGTGCAATGGTCAGTGGTCATAATGTTATGGCTGATCAGTGTACTTTATTGTAATTATTTCCAAGCAACGAGTTGTGTTTTGGGTTTACGAGACAAATTACTTTAAGAATGAAACTGAATGTATTTGGCAGACAAACAGCAATAAAAAGTTGTCTAACAATTAACTTTAAGCTCTCCTAACAGAGCTAAAGTAACAGAGCGGTGGTTAAAATGGAATTGTGTTGAATTTAGTTTAATGGACTCTTTTTATGGGAGATGATGGGAGATAATGTGAGATATGTAGGCTATAACCTCTCCTGTGTAGTCCTGTGGTAGCCAATATTCATTGAAAACAAAGGGATTACTTATGCTTGTCAACAGGTGCTCATTATCTGTCTGGGAATAAAAAAAACAAACTATGGTTTCTTTAAAATCTAAAGGTGTTTTAACCAAACAGTTTATTTAATGAAACAGCAGGTTTTCACACATGTAAGAGGGAATCTACTAGTGTGTTTCACCATGAAACAGCCAGCACCAGCCTGACCCTCAGCTCTGAGATCTTACCTCAGACTGTATCAGTAACGCTGTGCCCGCGTGCTTCCGCACAACAGCAGGTCAGCTGATTGAAACGGCACGCGGAAACTGTAATGTCAATGGAAGAGCGCCAGTAGCTCTCTAAAGTGCTCGGGCTTCATCCGCAAACATTAACGCCACTATTTAAAGTTGACAACAGCGGGCTTCTTACGTGCGCAGGACTTTGGATATCCACTCAGATAGCTTATCTAAGAAGCACAGTCGCCGGGCTGTCATCCTCAGGAGAAACTTATGGCACACAACGAGTCGTTGGTCGCTTTGAATGGGACTCAAGTAAGTTTGTTTTGCGGGCTGTGTCTGTGACCTACGTGTTTTAGGCGGTAATATATGCGTGACTGTCTTAAAAAAAAAAAAAAAAAAAAAGTGTTTGAGTTTATCGGTGCTGGATGTTTACAGGTTGTGTTTATTTCTTCGACATCACCGGTGTCATGTGACACATTGCTAACGTAACAGTCATGACTTTCAGTTTTGTAGTTCCTCCTACAAGTGGAGAGAACAATGCCTCCTGGTTGCAGCAGTATACGTTGGAAAGCACTGGAAAGCAAAGATAAAACTAGTATATTTTTGCTAAATTATTAGCATGGCCAGTGTTGGAATGTAACCAAGTACATTTACTCAAATACTGTACAGTCTGGAGGTACTCTACTTGAGTATTTTCAGCTTTAGTTTATTAATACTAAATAAAATCAATGCATAAATTATGATTATGATCATTATCATAGTAGATACACAGCCTTATATAAAGTAGTTGAATTTAGCTCTATCTTTACAAACTGTAACATAAAGACACTTATACATAAATGCATTAATAATTATAATCCGGTAATCTATTATTCTGAAATAGGCCCTTCTGCATAATGAGTACTTTTATTTCTGATACTCTAAGTATATTTTATTGTTAATACTTAGTATCCGACTGTGTCTACACTGTGGTATCAACTCCTTTGGGTGTTAACAGTGAAACTACTGTAGTGTCAACTGCTGCATTATGCAGCATCCTGTATCATACAAAATTAATTCAAATGGTGGTCCCCAGTCATTATTGTTTTAGAGGTGGAGTATTCTGAAACCATATTGCATTGCTTTGCTCATATTGTATTATAGATACTTAAGCTACCTCTCTGTTTTTTTCTTTGTTTAATTCTTAAAGATTTCCTACATCGGACATGACTGCAAGAACATTCCAGACTTCCTTGGAGACAGATATGGCAAGTTTGCAAGAAGGCTGGATCTGAGCTTCAATCAGCTCAGGTAGATGACAGATGCACACACCACAAACCTTGTAATCACCTGGATGCATATGCTGGCTGTCTCTCTGTCTGCCTGTCTGTCTATCTCAGTCTGTTATTGGTAGACATGCATCTTTACATCAGGTGCAATTGAATTTGTGCCCTCTGTCTAGAGGTGGTCAGAGTGTCATCAGAACATCAAAGAGCTGAATGAGCGTTAGAGCTGGGCTGATGCCACGCTGGGGCAGGATAAAAGGCGCGATCGATAAATGTGACATGCTAATTCGGGGGCAAATAGAAGAAAAGATTCCTCTGTCAGGACATGAAGGAACACCTCATGGCAGCCGCTTCGGAGGGGGCTGCCATTTCAACAGCAGGACTAGCGTAGTTGATCTGGCAAGTAAAAGAAGGGAGATGATGGTTATGAGGTGCTTTTGTTTCTGAACCCTTTTCATGACTGTCAGGCCATGAAGGTGTCTGAATAGAGGCAATTTTGTGTTGAAAATTGTTGTCTTGAGGCATTTGTCTGTGCTGGAGACGTGTAGTCCTCAATTTAACTGATTGACATTGTGTCGTATTGCAAAATCAATCATTTGCACACAGTGCTCAGACCAGCTGGAAGAATCTGTTTGGGTTAGTGGATAAATGAATGGATGAACCCATTGTTGACGTGCCTGTGAGCAAGGCACTGTGAATGTTAAACAGAAAAACATTATTCCCAGAAAAGATACAACCTGCTATTACCCACTGACCAAATATTAACTGAATTCATGGTGTGTGCACACAGTCTTTTTCTTAGAATGGGGCTCACCTTTACATAAGGTTAAGGTTGTAAAGGTGCTACAATGTTACTAGGATTGTTAAGTTTGAGGGCTGCCCTTTGTTAATTGAACCTATACACAGATAAATCAAATTGCATGTCTAGGCATAAATAATATGGCAAGGAACAAGTGAGAGGAACAACTGCAACGTACATTTAGATTAATAATTTTAAATGTTTGCTTTTTTTCTGGTTTTATGTTTAGATTTTTGACCGTCGTCACAAAAGTGTGGTCACTGGTCCTTTCATTGGATAATTGACCTACCATCTAAGGTGCTCTTGCAGTACTTGTTCATATACCTATTGATAGTCATGTAGATAGCTAGTGTTATACACATATTTAACAGCTTTTAGGAAGATGATACAGGTGAGTTACCACTTTTAAGTCATGCTGCCTTCCGACACACATGTCACACATTCAGGTGTGCAGACATTAGGTTTACTTGAAGCTTTGCACATCAAATAAATAAACATAAACGTGTTCTCTTTGTCCTTGGTCAAAAGCATCACCCTTTTCAAGTGTAATCAGCCCCTTAAGTGACTAACACAGGTAACCACATTGGTGCTGTAGCCTGTATGTACTGTCAAACAGCTAACAAGTAAGCAAGATGTCCGTGTCGTTGTTAACTTGTAGTAACAGGTTGACTTTTGTGTAATTGCCCAAATCTAAAAAAACAAAATCTGAAGAGGTACAAGTAAATTCTTATTCTTTACAGAATAAAGCCATCACACCATGACTGTTATGCATGGTACAAAATATTTGGACGGGCGAGTGTCTTGGCATTACCTCAGAGGAAGTGAAAGCCTGTTATGTCTCGCAAACAGCTTTATGAAATCTGACTGAAACAACCCTTGTGTGTGTTGCTTTCAGGGAGATCAAGGCTGACATTATGTTTCTCTCCCTTGAACCTGTCACATTAAGGACTTGATGCTTAGAATCAAATATTTATGGCTCAGATATTACTAATTCATTATTAATTTTCAGTTTGGCTAATCTCACATGTCAGATATCATTACTAAACTTCAAAGGGTGGTATGGGCAGAGAAGCAGTGCAGAAGTAATGAAGTGGTACTCGAACCATTTGGGGCTCACATCGGTAGACTATTGATTGATGGTTTGCTAGCAGGCAAAGTGATCTGTTACATAGTGCTTCATCTTTTTCTCCTATAGACAGTGTGTTACAGGGGTTGACACTGAAAACCTGTAAAGCTAACTGACATAAAACATGTCTCAAGAGATAGTTGAAAATGTTTAATTTTTAAACCTTCTGCATGTTGTGAAGATACTTTTACAGATGTTTATAACAATGTTTTAAAGCTGATTCCCACAAGTGAGTCTTGATACAATAACTCCCAACGCAAGCAGTGAACACTATATATATATATATATATATATATCCACAGCTAAAAAATATTACTGACCTAATAGTGTGGTTGGACCTCTTTATCCACAGTATTCCTTCTTCAACTTGTTCTCTGCGATTGGTGTCTGTTGGTGCTCACATGACAACACTGGGAGGTCATGGGTGGGTGGAACTGTGAAATTCAATAAGCAGCTCAACATGTGATAACATTATATTCTAACTAAGGCAAGGCAGCCCCCTCAGTAGTTTTGATCCTCACAAGAATGCACCTAAAAGGCCCCTGACTCAGATCAATGGTGGAAAGCTTTTCCTTTGAGAAAAATTGTAAAGTGAAATTTCAGCCAATATCCAATAGCCAGTCATTTCCATGGTAATGTCAGTCGGTACTGAAGTGTAAAAGATTTCATTTAATTACAAATCCACCATGTGTTTTCACCAGTGCAGTTGATCTTATAACTTTGATGCCTCATGCGGATTCAGTTTTAAAAATACTGCTTCACAATTAGAACAACGAGCAATGAACTTTTAATTCCTAAGAATTAAGACATTTTGGGAATTGGAATGTGGAAAAAATATTAAAATATTCTTGATAAATGAAACATAAATAAAACCACACAACCAAAACAATAAATAAAATGGACTCTTGGGTTAACAAAAATGGCTGTAGAGTGAGTTCAGTTCAGTTCCTTCCTTAACAGGCAATATAGCGATTGTAGAGAAAACCCTGCTGCTTATTCTGGCATGGTTTTGGCGATCATTTTGTGGTATGGCAATACAGTAATTTAGATTTTCACCTGGGACTGTAACTTGCTGGATACTGATAAGATGACCAATTTGCTCTCTAAAATGGACCCTCAAACATCAAGCCAAGGCAGCATAATACACTGTCCAAAATCAGAGATTATATTAAGCCGTACATCAAAATATTATATCATTATTTATCTCCTCGCCTCAACATTCAGGAATCTACAATCTGACATTACATGTCAGATAGTAGAGACATTTGTCTATTGACACCATGACCTCGTTTCAGTGTCAGCACAAGCAAACCAGGTGTAAACAGATGCACATGTAAGCGAATCTCGGTGGACTGCCTTCAGCATCATGCACTTCTTCATGCTGCTTGACTCAAATGGAGAGAGAGACATTGCCAGAGTTTGTTGTAGCTAATATGCTTATTTCTGTCAGCTCAATTGACAACACTCATCCGGCAACCTGACAATGAGTCACCGTGAGAAGCAATGCACTGGCACCACCTTTAACTGAGTCCTGTGTGTTTTGGTGTGTGTTGCGCATGTGTTTATGTTTGTGTGTGTACTTGTGCATGTTGGCTTGCATGCAGTGTTGGTGCATCTGTCTCTGTGAGCATAACTGTGAGTGGCTGGGCAGGTAATGGCAGGATGAAATTATGGTAGCGGGCTGTCACACCCACACCTCTCCCTCTGTGTGCTGCAGTGTCAGCCTGTCTCATCAATGTGTTGAGAAGAACGGCTCGCAGTGAGATTTCTGTCTCGGGACGGGCTTGGATAGTATTGTGTCCTCCACTTTGTTCCAGGTCAGGTGTGTACACAATGCAAGTGAGTGGGCATGTGCTGTCATGACATGATTCCGCCCTGTGACTCGGGGTGCACTTTGGGTGCACTTTGGGTGCCTGCGTCTGTTACATGCAGTGTGGCTGACCTGGACACACGAGGGTGTTGAGGAGGACACATGTCTGTGTGTCACAGGAAGACATCGTGACATTGTTAGAACAGTGATGACCTTTCTCTCTGACGTGGCATCTTGAACAAATCCCATTTGCGCAATGACAGCGTTTGTTAAATAAAATTAAACCTAACCTAAAAGTTAAGCCTGCCTCTTTTACTTAGATGAGTTTTAGCTAGTTAGATCTGCCCGTCACTTGTCCTCTTGACACACACGATACTGATTACTGCACATGCAATGTAAAAATGCATGTGCCATATGTTACAAACAACTGTCAAATATTTGCTAGTACCTCTGCCAAGGAGCTTATGTTTTTGGCGCCGTTTGTTTGTCTGTCAGCAGGATTACGGAAAAAACTACTGGCCCAATTTTATGGAGCGCCTTGGTTGCCGAATGGTTACCGTGCATGCCACATAACCGTCGCCGGTTCAGTTCCAGCTTAGGACCTTTACTGTATGTCATAGCTCTCTATATATATTTCCTGTCTGCCTCTTAGTTGTCAAACTGTCCCACACCATGAAACTTAGTGGAAGGGTGCAGCATGGGCCAAGGAAGAACCCATTCAGTTTGAAGCGGATCTGAATCACAGGGCAGTTACACAAATAGTTTTTCACTTTTGTTGTGTTTGTGCTTGCAGATTTGCATATAACTGGCGTGCTGGCCTTGGTGGAGGTCTGTGCTCTCCCGAGTGGCCTTGCTGTTGATCTGTATTTTTACAGCTCACCTTATCTGTTGCACAAATGCTATGTGCATCAGAACGTTATTAAAATATGATACTTAAAAAGTTGAACGCCTGTACAAACTATTACAGTACAATAGCCTTCCAATGATTCCCACAATGATTCAGCATATTCAGTTTCTGTCGTGACTGTGTCACAGAGGCGTTGATTCAGCTGAGCTCAGTCATCGTTTTGGTGGTAATAGTTTGTGATACTGTTACATTATTGAATTACATTGTGTTCTAGGCATTTCTAATGTTCTTTTCACTTTGGCAAAATACTGGAAAAATAAGTGCGGAAGCTCTTTTGCAAATGCATTAAGATTGAAAGAGCTTGTTGGTGAACTGGATTAGTTATTTGATTAGAAATCAATGTCTGATCACATAGGTGTTCAATTCATTTATACTTTTACCAA